GCTAAGTGTAAATTAATAATGACTTACATCAGTCTTTTTTTACACAAGTATTTGTGTTATATTACCACAGTGTCAGCCAGAAGAAAGCTTTAGGGAACGAGGGCTTAGCTGTTAATCAAGACATTGTGTACTGTACACAAAAGTTAAATGTCAGAGAAAACTAAATCAACTACAATACAGTGACAAGTTGTATTTTTTTTAGGATGTCTACAAATCTTCACGTATAATTATGTGAGAGGATAATATCTGGTGTCTGGGTGAAGTGTAAACATATTAGAAAATGTGAGTCTAATTGCTATCCAAATACATTAGCACTGAAATAACAAATTATCAGTTGATGCTCTGGTTTGTTTTTAGCAAGAAATAGGAGAAATGTGATGACCAAGAGAGTTCGTCGGGCAGAGCAAATTGCTTTATGATAATAATATCTTTCTTACTTTGTTACTTACATTCAATGAAAAAAACAAACAAATTAATTTGCTGTCTTTGAAGTCTACAGACGACCCCCTGAAATCAAGCAATCCAACGAAATGAGGACACTCTAAGGAACAGTAGTGTAGCGTCGTGATCTGTGTACTGTGAAATTAACCGTTGAGAAAACAATTACTTTCTCCTGCTCGAGAGCCAAATAGCAACAAGGCATCAGAAAACAGGAAAATCCCATATACTGCATTGAGAAAATCACTCTGAGATGGAGAAGTCGATGATAAAAAATACTCATAGTAAACGTATAAATGACACAAATTTATCTTAAGGATGGAGGTTTCGGTTATTAATTTGTGAAAATAAGATACCTAGCCCATTATTCATATATCTGTACGTGAAATAATATTGTCCAATGGTCTCTTTTTTGTGAAAATGTCGATTTTTGAAATAATTAGAGTCACGTTGCTCTGCTGTCAGAATCGTATTCTTATTTGTCCTGAAAAATGAGTTAATCACACCAAAGACGTGAACCAAAGATAAGAAAAGGAGATATAACACCACAGTTGTACTGTTGTTACATATGAATTGCAGAGCAATTTTGTGCTTAATTTTTTCATTTGTTTCTATTGTTTCCAATATAATAAACCTCTTTATAAAGGACTTTCTTGCGTATAGTTGCAGGTCCTTTAACTTTTGCCTTACATGCCTACATTAAAGTAAATTACCTGTCATGATATAGAAGAGTGTTTGGTTTAGATATTGATTAATTTAGTTTTGTAAGTGATTATTTTAAGTGTTGTTGTAATAAGAGTTAAAAGCAGACGATTGTAGAAGGTTT